GGGCTCACAAATGCAGGACACCCCTCTAGCTCAAGAGACTGCCACGTTGCTCTTACTCTGCCACACGGGAGCCGAACTGCAGCAGGAGCCCCAGGGGGCTGAGGTTCGGAAGGGAACAGGCCGGGCAGCAGCACAGCTGCCGTCTTCAGGCGAGCACGTGGCTGGGTTGCACTGGCTGCTCCTGCCAGTCCCTGGGAAATCGCAGCTGTTTGCAGGGCTCATGAGAAGAAAACAAACAAACAGAAACCACACACCCCATATCTGCTACTTTTCCTTGTGGAAAACCTTGATTTGCTTTGCATGACTTCATCTGTGAACCCAAAAGCTTCAGTAGMAAAGACAAGACGACAGAATGCAAAGTGAAATAAAATTCACTGAAAAAACAAAATGCCGTATCCCAAAGTGGTAAAGCATCAAATCTGGAGCATCAAGGTAAGTACTGTAAAAAGAAAGAAATCTCCCACATTAGAAAGAACCAGCACTCTGCCAATAGACATTGCCTGAAAACCAGCAGCAAAAAAAAAAAAAAAAATTTCTATTTATGGAATGACAGGCTTAAATGCTTCGATACTTTGATCAGTGCTTCAAGTAAACAGCCTTCAACTAAGAGAGTCTATATATGCATGATCTATATCTGCCTGAGAGCCATGGACTAAAGTATTCCGCAAGTGCCTGAAGAGACTCATTGAGTCAAATAGACTCAAAAGGAAAGTCTATAATTTATGACTGCCACAGGGAAAAATAGCTAGTAGAAAGAGATGTTTTCCCATTGTACCTTTAGTCATCTTCTGTTGACTGGCTCTTTCCTTAGGCTTTCAGTAAATGGAAAAAGGAAAATAAAATTAAAAAAAGATATTGACTCAATTTTCTTGAGGAAAAAAAGAGTATTTACAAGCATATGTTTTTAAAAGTAAAAAATCCATAGCCATTAACAGCTAGGTTTTGATTTCCTTTCYGTTTTGTTTATTCAGGGTAAGATCAAAAAGCAGCAGTTCAAACATCCTGATGAGACCCACCACCAGTGACAGACACTGCAGTAGGTGCGAGGGGCCCACGTGCCCGTAGCCGAGAGCTTGGGAAATGCAGCCCTCTCCACAGGGGATGCAGCCCATAAGGCCTATCCAACAACATTAACACTGACAGGGTCCTAAATCATGTCTTACCTCCAGTCTGAGGCTGCTGGACCACCCAGGGGAGCCACAGGCAGCTCTGAGCCACCCTTTACACCTAGCTTGAATGGAACTGAGGTGCCACCCAGCACCCCTGCCCCAGCCAGGGCATTCCCACCTCCTTGTGCTGAAAGCACAGAACAGGAAGGGTGGCCTCAACCACCATACACACTTCTGGCTAAAAGAGTAATACAGGACAACTTGCATTTGCTCTCACTTGTTTCTGCACAATTAAAATACCTGGCATTACACCGAAGCATTGCAGAAATGACTTACGGAGACAAAATACAGTTCACAATCTGGGACAGGTCATTTCTTGCATTCTGCAGGAAGGCTTTTTACAAAGCATAACACCTTAAAAAAAAAACAACGTAATTCCTTTTTACAACAGTCCTTTACAAAGAAGCCTATAACAAATAGTTTTCCTTTTGTCTCTAGTACTGGGTAAGCACTTGAATTTGTTTTAGTCTCATGACTATTTACATAAATGGGCAAAAAAAGAGTTTGTGCAGCAATAAATCCCTAAAGAACATATTTCTTCAGCCTTTCACACAGATCTGAACTCAAACGTCAAATAATAGCAAAGCAATGGCAATTACCTATAAAACTTTAAGCTGTCAGTTTTATTTCATTTGGAAGCCAACCAAACACCCTATCCAGGCAGGTTCCCAAGCATTAACTCTCACTGCAGTGGTCTCAAAATATATTTGGCTTCTAGTCCCTTGCTTCAAAAGCTAGATGCCTAGAACTGAAAAGAATTTTTAAGTGTTCTCTATGCACTTGCTTTTGTAGATGTACTGAAATTGTAGACAATCTTTGGAAAAATATATGATTTTTAGAATATTTTAATAAGCTATTGAACACTCAAGAAATATGTATGTAAATAAATATCCATAGCTTGACAATGAAGCAAACTCCCCAGTCAGGAAGCAGGCACCAACCTCAGGCACCTGCACCATCGGTGAGGACTGTACACACCCCCGGGGCCTTCAGCTCCTACCTGAGGGCATGATGTCTTAGTAACAGAGGACTTGGGAAATATTTCCATTAACAGCCCTGGGAGAGATGGACACAGGTAGGAGCCTGTGGGTGACCCACAGCAAGGACAACCTTCCCTCCCTGTCCTCTCCTCCGCAGCAGGGCTCTCCTGCTCTGTCCTCGCTGGGGACCTATTCCCCACCCTGCAATGTTTCCAGTTCCCTTCCGCACCTGAGCTCCTGCTTCCCATTCAAAGGGACCAAGCCACATCAAAAGCAGGACRTAAGTAATCCATCAATTCTGAGTCTGTTCCCAGGCTACAAACAGATCTGGGCACGGAAGCCTCTGGGGTCCACCACTGGCTGTTCTTCCCCCAGGGTTTCACTTCCCTGTTTTGAAACCTCAGCTGTGTTAATAGTTAACTCATCTCCTTGGGACTTACAAGGAAAGAACTCGCATGGAGACTGCCAGCACTTATAGTCCCCATCAACTCCACCACTCCATGGCTGCAGAAATCCCTGCTCCTAAAGCAGACCCAGACCCTTCCCGCCTGACCTGTTAACACAACCAGCATGAGTTTCCGCTTAATTTGAAACACCAGGCTGGGAACTGCTGCAAGCAAGTGCTGCACGCTYGCAGTTCAAGCACAGGACAGACCCCGTAATCTCCTCAGTCACCTCAGCATGAGCTGTTCCRTACGATTAAATCAGGAGCTATGGAAAGGCTCCCCGTACTCTGCCTGTGCTGCTCCCTTCGCTCTGGAATCAGCTGCAGCTCTCACGGGGCTGGCCTCAAACTGCTGCACGGGCACACACAGACAAGAGAAGAGCTCAGGCAGCCACTGGAGCGATGCTCTGYCCTCATAGGGAATTTTAAGAACAGGAAGATGCATATAATTTGTATAATTATGTACTTATGTTACTCCTTCACTTCTCTTAACAAATTTAGTACAGAAAGGAAGAGATGTTTCCAACATATCATGCTTAGAAAAGCAGCTGGATGTTCTACAGTGACCAGCTCTCCTCCCCAAAGCTGCTAGCTAAGAGATCCACAGTTTCCCAACAGCATAAAACATCCTTCAAATGCTCCAGGAGGTATCTCCCTTCAAAAAAAAAAAAAAAAAAAAAAAAAAATCAGTAAAAGTGATTAAAATTTGGAAACCAAGTTTTATGATCTGTTGAAGGAACAAATAAGCACATAACACTTTTCATGAAAAGACTTTATATATGAAACGAGATTAAATTACTATCACTTTGTGCAGCAGTGAGGACCAAACAGACAGCAGGGCAGACAAGCCCAGGCTGTGCTGATGTCTACAGGTTACAGTTTCACAGCAAGGACAGAAGAAAGGTGCTGAATCAGCATGTTCAATATTTGAGGAATTGTTTTCAGTTTTAGGACCTGGGCTTGATTTCTAGGACACTCCTGCTCAGCCTTACAGACTCCAGGCTGCTCCCCTAACAGCTCTGCATGGAGTCAGCAGCAGATGTTGCCGTGTTTGGGAGACAGACTTGGTTCTGATCCTGAACTAATGTCTCTCCAAGCTGAGGCTGGTACATGTTGAAAAACCTGGGTATCTGTGCATTTTAAATTACTCCGTCCCTGCTGGCATGTACTGCAGTTGTCACTACATAGAAACCTCCACACACGTCACTAACATTGGCACCAAGCTCCGTGATGGCTCCTTGCTGCAGCTAAAGTGCTTTTCAAAGCATCCCCTCCAACTTCCTCATCTCATAGAGGGATCTCTTCTCTTGCAGAAATGGCACTTTTTAAGTAAGTGGGAAATGAACTTACGTTGCTCAATTCATAACTAAGCACTTAGCATCAGGGCAGATCCACAGAGAGCCAAGGAGGCAGCAATCAGGAGCTACAGGTCTCTGTCACACACATATGAGTTTAAATAGACAGYTTCCACTTGAAACACAAAGTTCAAAACACAAAACAAACAAAACCAGAACTGTTTCATATACACAAGGCACTTTTCAAATGCAAAGTAATACTGTTTTTTAGACATATCTGACAATAACATTCTACCCAAACTGAATATATACTATATATACMCTATACATAAATATACACATATATAAAAACCACTAGAAAGCCCACAGTAAAATACATCACGCAACTTTAAAAAAAAGTGTTGGCTTGTACTTCATACACATTTTTTCTTTGCCTTCCACTAAATTACACTGGCATGTATTAGATTTGCACACACCACCACTTCAGCAAATATTATCATTCATAACCTGGGTGGTTAGGAGTGATGTGGCACAACACTTATTTGTCAGCATAAGCAAACAYGCGTTCAGCACTATCGCTCTCCTACTCCTCAGCAAGTGACAGTCCTCTGGGCTTACCCATGATTAATTGATTTGAAGTGGAATGTAATTTACCTTTTCTTAATCAAGGCAGTCACTTGTTATGAGCCAATTTAACTGCTTAAAGTTTCCTAACACAAGGACACAAACAAGGGCAGCTTCCAACATTCTTCCCTCTCTCTGCTTTTTCTCAGTCCCGTTTAGTTGGATGTAATATAAACCAGCAACTGCTGAAGGTTTTATGCAGTCATTTTTGTTTCGTTACACTGGAGGACTCAACTACATTCAGTTGCTTAATTGCACTTTCACTACAAAATGACAACTTGGTCTGAAAACAGTTTTGTCTGAAAACACTCTAGACTGGATTCCTATGTGGCATACAAACACTTGTTATTTTCACATTTATTTTTCCATTATTGTAAAAGATATGAATATTTAAACACAAACTGAACACTTAAATAACAAGAGGGTAAGAATGACCATCAACCACGTTTGCAACAACCACAGAGATAATACAAGAGGACACACTTACAGAATTGCAGACTGAGGCTCAGAAAGGCTAGTAGGGCTGCCAAGGCCAGCAGGAACAGAAAGCGGTTTCGGAAAAGCATTATTATTCCTTCTGCTGGCTCTTCATGGCTTCATCTCTGTACGTGAACAGTTCCTGCAAACAACACAAGTGAATATATTTCAGATGCAGAAGCATCAAAATAAATTCAAGTATCATTTTGACAGTGAAAAGTTATTTCTTAAAGCAAGCGCACCTGGTGATTCCAACAGTATCAAGCAGTCGCCTTGACTGACAACACTTACTATATTTCCACAACACGGGAATCTTCAAGAAAATGAAGGATTTGCATTCTCCCATAAAAATATATATACTTCTAATGCTAATGCAGGGTTTAGGCTCATTTTGTGACATTATCAACATGTCTTTAACAAAAAGCTCACCCCAACGCAAAACCATTTTGGACAAGAATTACTACATAGAGGYTCTGAAGAGCAACTTAGTAAACCATCCCTAGAAAAGAAGAAAATCTGATAATGTGCTGAAAAAGTTACTTCTCTCTCCCCATTAAACAAAAGTTTACAAGGAGTTTTGTTAAGCAGTATCTCTTTCACTAATATAGACTTACTTAAATTCAAGTTCTTATTAGAGAAAGTAATTTTTTTAAATTACCAGTACCGCTATAGAGAGAATGGAACAATGGAAAATAATGGAAAAATGGAAATAAGGAGGAACAATTGGATATTATATTTTTAAATAATTGCTTGACAAAGATCAGAGTGACATACTTCAGACCAACAGGTATATATATGAAGTTCAAAACTCAATATGCAGTTGCAAGCATTAAAAAAATATATTTATCTCGAAAATGCTTGTCTAAGTAGCACACCTAGTAAAGGCATCTCCTTCCCTCCTTGCAAGACAGTAACAAAAGTACACAGAATTTGAGGCACACGGGTTTTAAAAGATGTCCATTTGCTGATGGAAAATGGTTCCATCAAAGGAATATTGGGGTTTTCTTGGTTTTCCTGTCCCCCCTACCCTTCTTTTCCAAAAGCCAGCTGCTCTTGGAAGCGAGAGGCCCTTTTCCAGCCGTGACAGGGGGCAGCAGGAAGCTGCTCGCACTTGGAAGGATCCATCTGAGAYTCCCAGGTCCTTTGAACTGGCTTCTGTTAATGGCAGTGCATCCAACAGTGCTGAYAGAAAAGAACTTGTTTCCCCACCAGTGTTTCTTCTTGCTCTAGCACTTACTTGCCCATGGAAAGAGAGCTATTCTGCTTCTTTCCAGCTTTGGAGAATGAAAAAGCCTATAGGCACATACAATTAACAAGTGTCTGTTTAACAACATCTGCATAGGCTCAGAAAATTAATGATCTTACCAAGGTTTTGACCTCAGTCTCAGRACACTGATAATCCAACACGACTCACAACTTCAAAATTTAAAAAATTATTCTCAAATGCTAGCGAGGAAATCCTCCAAAAAATGCTATGAATCACTGGATTTCTCATTGCATCTACTGTGGTTAGTCTTAGAAGTTGTTTGAACTGTGAATTAGCCATTTCCCAGAGTGATTTCCTGGGTTTCAAGCAACAGGACTCGGAGCATAAACGACGATCTCCCAGTAACGCAAGGAAAAGGACTCCCAGCACACGGAATTAAGAATACGTGTACGTTTTACAGGAGTGAGCTCTGCCCGGCTCATTTTACTTCATTCATTTTACTTGGAGAACCACCTTGACAGCCTTGGAAACTCGGGCACAATGGAAAGAAGCAAAGGTTCTGCAAAGCCAGAAACCAGGCAGGTTACTGTGTTTTTCCAAAATGCCAGTAGCACCACAGACGCTGTGAGCAAGCAGTAATAAAAATAAGAAAGAGACAGAAGGAAGGCTCTTAAGAGCCTCTACTGCCCAAAATCAGAGCTTTTCCTGGAAACTCTTAATGAAATAAATGTCAGCCTCAGCACTAAATGAAACTGAGCTGCAGAGGAAAAAAGGTTCAAGGATTAGTGAACACAAAACATTAGGAGAGTGTGAAGCAGTAAAGCCAGACAGATGGAATAGCAGAAGGGAAACCAAAGGAAAAATAAAATTAGACTCAGCAGGGAGGAATAGGTAAAATATATTAAAAACTCTGCGGAACAAGCGCTCTCGTGTGCAGGCTGCATTCATTAATGGTGCTGCTGCATAAACAGAAGTTGCCACATAAGAGGACACATGACAACATCAGAGAGGGAAGATAACACTCACCTCAAATTAGCAAGCCACCACAGGAAAAAGTTTAAACAGGTTTAAATCTTAACTGCGAGCGGATGTCTTAAAATGCTTAGTTCAGACATTATAAACCAAGCAGAAAGATTTACTTTTGGATACACATTAGCCTGTCAACAAACTAACGCTGCTGCGGCACGGCTGCCCGGGAGTGGCAAGGGTCCCTGTTGAGCAACTGCTCAAGAGGAGCTGGCAGCGCACCCATCCTGCCGGCAACGGCGCTGGAGGGCGGCGCGGCCGCCGGAGGCCGAGCACAACACACCGACCCTGGGCACTCAGAAACACTCCTGTGTACGGGCTGCAGAGCATCGGCTGCCACTGCGACGTTTGGGGAATATTGATCTTTCTCCACTGAATGTGCGGACAGGCTGGAGTGCAGGTCATGTCCCAGCCCACCGCCTCTGCTGGAAAGCTCTGCATGTTCCACGTCCAGGTTTGGGGTCTTTTCTGCCTGTGAGTTGTTCCTGGCTCCAGAGGTTGGCGAGGAGGAGCGCACAGCAGAGGCACGGGCACCCAGCACTGCAGCCCAAGCTGTGCCAGGAACGCCTGGCGGGGAGGACTAGGGCTCCCCTAGCRCTGCACGGGCACCAAGCGCCCTCTGGGTCAGGCCACAGTGCGATGCTGGATACAGCCCCGTGGCTCCAGAGACTTAGCTAAACTGCATCGACTACAAGCGTGACACACACTAGTTGCCAGTTAGCTGAGGAACAGCTGTTATTTAAACACGCTATATCCAAATGCAGGTAATTTAAAGCTACATCTTGAGACACCTTTTGCGATGTACCTACCTAACCTTATTTATTTATTTTTAAAAAGGTAATACAGAAGATCCAGCTGATCACAACAAGCCAGAGTGACTCACTGCATCAAAAGCACCCTTGGCTCTTGCCTAATCACACAAGAGGATGCCARCACAAATGAACACCAGCTGCAGCCTCTGCTGCACACTCACAGGGGAAAAATCCTTAGGAAAAGGCTGAGCCGTCACGAAACTCTCCCCATAGCCCCGTCAGCCTCTTGCACCAACCCAGTCAAGCCACACTCTGGTTTTCAGGCCATTTGGCTGGAAAAGTTAACAGCTACCTGGAAGTGCTGTGAAAGCAGGATGGCTAAGCCATGCACGCACGGAGCTGGACACTGGAGCAAGCACCGGGCTCCCCCTGCACAGCCAGCCAGCCTGGCAGGAGCTGCCTCTCCCCAGCTACTGCTCCACACCCCTTGGGGCACAAAGCACGGGGCAAACACGCCAGTTTTGCAGGGTTGCTGTTAGCCAAACTCCTCCTTTTGCTCATTTAAATCAGGCCTGAAAATAGCTCGTCATGAATGCTTTCACGTCTCTTGCAGAGTTAGACATGACAAGAAGCCACCACTACCACCAAACACCTATGCCAGCTGGCTGATGCAATGGCTTCAAGTTCACTAGAAGGCAAATCTACTACCCAGCATGAAGCATAAGCACATTATTACACTGAATCCCCATGACAGTTTAAATGAATTTGCTTGATGAAAATAGTATGTCTCCATAAATAATCAATAGTCCTCTTCAAAGTCTACTTCAATAAAATTACTGCATTGTTCTGATGTGGTGCATCAGACTGCTGAAACGCAAGCAAGCAAAATTGGTCACAGGGTAATGTCAGGGAGAAATGGTGACCTCCCCCAAAGGAAGCATTAAGTCTGGATTSTCTATAGGCAAAAGATACATACAAGCCTATTTTCTAGCAAGTTCACTGAATCTGTGATGGAGGGAGTATGCTAAGGGTTAGCCAGAATAATATTCATGAGGTCACAGAAGAACACAGGGACCCAGTTAACAGCCTGGTGTCTCTACACTGCACGGGATGACAAATCCATCAACTTGAGAGTTGTAATTAGAATTGCTTTTAGATGCATCTTTCATCTTTCTTCTCCATACGAGGGATTATTTCCCTATACAAGCCCTGTTTTGAAGGCATCTAAAATGAAGGTGACAGCTCCTGATATGATCAGAAGCCTTCCAGTTCACGTTAACTAGCGACACACCACAGATGATTCCCCAGTCATTCGGCACCTGAACGCCAGGCCGTATTCCTTTTTCCATATACCAATACCCACAAGCCAGCACCATACCTCAGCCAGCTGGAGAACTCCATATTCAAACTGGAAATTACAGAAAATAACAGTGTTGGCAAGCAGACCCAGCTAATATTTTATTTGGTGCTTCAAATGTGGGTTTCATTTTTTTTTTTCCTCCTCCTGGAGGATACTCCTGTAGGAATGAAAAATACTCTCTGGCTTCTTGTGGTTAGGACCAAAAGCAGCATCAGTACAAAAACCTGCAGCAAGTACTGGAAGAGACACAGGAGTGCTCAGAAGAACAGCCGGGAGGGCAGCGCGGCCCCTGTGGCTGCTCAGACCCGGGGGGCAGCTCGAGGAAGCCCCTGCCCGGCCAGCAGCTGATCCTGCAACTGGGGCCGGTCAAAGCCGACAGACGGGTCCTGGTGCACAGAGCTGCCTTTTGCGTAGCACCGCGCAACGGCACCTGAATTCTGAGAATCACAACTCTCAATCCCTACTCATTTTCATCAGAATTGTTAAAAAAAAAAAAAAAAAAAGCTTTTTTTTTTTTTTTTCAAGTGAAGCAGGTCATACAACTTCACATTAACAAAAAACAAGTTTCTAGGAGAGTAAAACCTGCTCACCTAAGTCATTAAATAAAACCTACTCAGTAATGTTTTTCCCAATTGCCCACCCGAGGCAGGGCTTAATTTGGAAGTAAATTAGTAATTACAAAAACAAAACAAAAAAGCACAGAGCTTGGCTGAAAGCACAAACAGTTTGGCATGCACAGGAGAGAGCACAAGATAAGGAAAGTCACGGTAAGAGAAGCATCATATGACT